AACAGGGGGCAAAGTTATGATAACTTTTCAGCCACAACCAAACACCTTGAGAGAGTAAGTTATGTTGTTGTTGTTATGTGCCGTTGAGTCGGACCCGACTCATAGTGACCCTTCCTTGGGTTTCTGAGATGGTATCACTAAGGATGTTGATTGCCCAACTTTCCTTCTGAGGAATGGCTGGTGGGTTTAAACCACCAGCCTTCTGGTTAGCAGTCAAGTGCCTTAGGCACTAGGCTGCCAGAGCTCCCAGAGTGAGTTATAGGGCCCATGGTCTCAGGACCATTGCAGTGGGATCACCAAGTTCAATTGATATAACATACTACACAAAAACGGAGCTCTACATCCAGCTTTGATGAGTAGCAACTGGGCTCTTAAAAGCTTCTAAGTGGCCATCTAAGATGCAACAATGGTCTCCTCTCTTCCAGAGCAAAGATGAATGAAGAAAATCAAAGATGCATGGAAACAATTAGTCCAAGACACTAGCGGACCATGAGAACTTCAGCCTACCTGACCCTGAGACCAGAAGAACTAAATGATGCCTCGTTACCACTGCCAATCACTCAGAAAGGGATCAAAATTGGAGATCCTGCATAGAGTGGGAGAAAAATACAATACTCAAAATCATAAAAAAGACCAGGCTTACTGGTCTCACAGAGACTAGTGAAATCAGTCCTGGAATTGAACTCATTTTCATGGAATTGAACTAACTTCCAGCCAAACAATAGACAGGCCTCAAGGTGGATAACTACACCAGGTTGGTGCATTCCTTAGAACATCAGGAATGGCAGATCAGAAGGGCAGCATTTGTGCAGGGAGAAAGCTCAGAGGGTAAGAATACATAGGAAAGAAGGACACGGGTGAAAGGTAACCACAGGGAAGAAGTGGGAAGAGAGCTGCTACATTGTGGGGATTTCAATCAATGTCATGGAAAAAAAAGTGTATAAACTGTTGAATGGAAGATGAATTTGCTCTGTAAACTGTCCCCAAATCACTATAATCATTATAAAAATAAAGTAAGAAAAGATTCACAGCCTTGGAAATCCTATAGGGTAGTTCTATTATGCTCTAAAGGGTTGCTGTTGTTGTTGTTATATGCAGTTGAGTCGGACCTGACTCATAGCGACTCCTCCTTGGGCTTCCAAGGCAGTATCACTACAGAAGTAGATTGTCCCATCTTCCTTCCGAGGTGTAGCTGGTGGGTTTGAACTGCCAGCCTTCCAGTTAGCAGTCAAGTGCCTTAGCCACTATGCTACCAGAGCTCCCAAAGGGTTGCTAGGAGTCAGAATTGAATTGATGGCAATGGGTTTCTCTCTTATAAAGAAACTTATGACTGCATTTAGAATGCACCCAGATGATACAGGGCAATCTCCTATCTCAAGACCCTTCAATTCATCACATATATGCAGACTGTCAAAAAAGGCATATTCACAAGTTCAGGGATTGTGACCCAATACCACCCAGCCCTCCAGATGCCTTGGTTAGTCTGAGCAGAACCACATGGTCAAGGGCCCAGCTTGTCAGCTGGGAATACTTCCCACTTGCTCCAAATCCAGGGTGGGTGCTTTATTCACAGGATAGCACCCTGAAGATTTAATTCTGAAAAGGAGCTGGCATGAGAGCTGGCCATACCCCTGGCAAGGCAGCAGCTTTGGAGGGGCATGGCCTGTGTACCATGGTCTTTTTCTCCCAGGACCTGCCCATCTGTGGGATTTTTCTTTTGTTCCTGAAGCATTGCTCAGCATCACTGTATGCAGGAGGCCAGAGGGCACAGCTTTGCTAACTGATTAAGGAGCTTTCAGAGAGAAGAGGTTTGAAACTCAGATCCCTCCTCCCAGGAATCCTTCCATGCTGGGGAGTTGTGTAGGGGCAGCAATGAAACTTCATCACAAGAAAAAGGACCCAACCTGGGCAGAGCTTCACTCCTTGAGGCACAGAAGCCTCCCTTACCCAAAACCATGAGGAGAACCCAAAGTAGCTTCCTGGAGGAAGTAACAGGCCCAAGAGCTACCCAGGCCACCTGATCTACCCAATTCACTCTGGGCAGCTGTAGAAGGGACCAACTGCCTGCTGACTCAACCCAGAATGCAGCCCCCACCTTCCCCTGCATGTGTTGGCCTCACCTCCTTCCTCAGTGAGATCTTGGACCAGGTCCCCAACTGTGTACTGATCAAAAGCTGGGCTCTTCCAACAGTCAGCCTCTCTTCCTGACCACTTTCCACCCTGGCCACTGTCCAATGGCCAGCCTAGCCCCTCCTCTGCACACTCTTCTAGGGGACATGGAGGGAGCTTTAGTTTCAGTGCTGGTGTTCAGGGACCAGAGTGATGTGGGCCCACTGTGGCTCCCTGCAATTGAGAGTGACACTGTGTAGGACACAAGCATGACAGAGAGGCTACTTCTAGGAGGTAGATGGTGCCCCTCTCCAGGCATCAGCCCTTCTGAACAGCCTTCCCCACCCTCTACCTCTTTGAAGTGTACATGTCCCTGGTGTCCCCCCCCCCACACACACACACACCACAGAGACACATATATATATATGCCTGGCTTGGGTTTCTGATGGCATAGTGCCTAAAGCATTTGATTGCTAAGCAGAAGGCTGGTAGTTCAAACCCACCGGCCACTCCTCGGAAGGAAGATTGGGCAATCTACTTCCGTAGAGATACCACCTTGGAAACCCAAGGAAGGGTCACTATGAGTCAGAAACTACTCGATGGCAGTTCATCATCATCATCATCATCATTGGGTCCTAGGTCCCAGCTAGTCCAAAAGGCAGCATGCAGGAGAGCACAGGGCTGTCACGGGAGCAGGCATACAGCCCAGCCCCCCTCTGGGACCCTCATACCTGTCACTGAGGGATCCATCACAAGGGGAAAAGGTATTGTTGCCCTATTCTTCCTGCTTCCACTCATGCTCCTGCAAGGGATAATGGCAAGCCCTGGGGAGGGGCACCCCAGCGGGGAAGTCTGAGGAAGAGGAGGATGCCCCTGCCTATGAGGATGCCCCCAGGAGGGGCCCCAGCTGAGGGAAGCCAGCCTCAGCCCACCTCTGAGCCAAGGGGATGTGGCAGTTGCCTGCTGGAGTCCCCCAGGCCTCCGTTCAGGACGCAGCCTCCTCATAGCCACAGATACTGCCAGTGTGACCAGATGTTCAGTCAGAAGTCCCTCAGGCCTCCCGGCCAACAGTGAGAGAAATCCTGCCTCCACACAGCCCTGTCCGGGCCTTGCCAGGGAGAACTGCCTGAAACCGGTTCCCAGTTGCCTCCCTAAGCCCCTTCCCTGCTCAACTCTCCCAACACCACCTACGGCACAGCCATGGGGTCTGTGGTCAACCAGAGCTCTCTAGTTCCACCAAAAATAGATGGTAGCTCTACTGGGGGACACAGAGGACAGGCCAGCAGGGTGGCCCTACTTGGATCCAGGCCCTTCACAGCATAACCTGAGATCCTGAGGGTCTCCTAGATGGCCCACTTCATGTCCCACCCTGTTGTGGCATCTGAAATGCAACACTTCAAGGTGTGCTCCTGGGGCTCAGGAACCAGGGATTGGCCTCTGACCTCTCTCATAGGTCAGTCCCCTAAGAGGCAGGGGTAGAGGGGCAAAGAGAGGCATTAATGTCTCTCTCTTTGGCCTCCCTGAGCCTCAGGCCAGGGCGGGTGGGTCAGGACTGAGTGGGCTCAGGGCCTGGCTCTCAACCCCTGCTGGCAGCATCCCCCTGGCAGGATGCCCAGTGCAGGCTGCCCCCTGCCCCGCATGCTGGGTAAGGGCAGGGCCAGCGTGGCAGGATGGGGTGGACAAATGGCCCAGGCCACCAGGCGGGCCCTGCTGACTCCACACCCAGGACCTGGGGAATGGGTGTGTCAGGGACGGTGAACACAACTTCTTTCTTTCCTCAGCTCCTCTGAGACCGACTACTTTAGCCAAGAACCCCAGCATGGCCTCTCCTACCCTCAGCTGGCTCCTGGTCCTCCACCCCTCTTTGCACACACTGGGTTCTGCCTGGTTGGGCCTATTGCTTTGTTTTCCTGCAAGCAGCCTTCTCACCCATTCCCACCCTGCCCAGTCTCCAGTCCTGCCCTGTATACCTCTCTCTTATCCAGGGCCCCTCATTGGGAGCACATGTCTCCTCCCCACAACCACACGGCACCCCTGCCTGGCACAAATCTGCCAAGCAAATGGGTAGAGTGCCTGGCAGATAGGCCAAGCAGCCTGCCATGCTGGGCTTTAGTCCTACACACTCACATATCTCATAGAACCCCAATGGGAAGGTGTGCACAGAATTCAATCCCAGAAGCCCCCAAGTCAGTCGTGGAGCTGTTCCTCCCCTGCTGGCCTGGCCCAGCCCTGAAACCCAATGACCACGGAGTCATTGAGGAGATCAAGGCCATTTGTCCACATGCCACGGGAAGGGGCTCAGGGCCAAGAGGGCAGGTCCCTCCCAGGGCCAAGGCTACCAAGTGCAAACAGCCACTGGGGAGTCAGACCGGGACACCAGCCGCTTGGAGGACAGACTCCCTCAGGAACACAGTGGGGCCTTTTCTAGGCTGCCTGAGGGTTAATTACAGAGTTCTCCTGCACTGCTCTCTGCTCCCCTGCCCTCCCCTCATTCCCTCTTCTTTTTCCTTTCTTTCTTCCCTCCTCCCCACCCTCTCCCTTCCCGTGGGTCATGTGACCTCCCATGCCTCAGTTTCCCTCTATGACCGAGGACATATGGGGCTACCTGAGACTGTGAGGAGGACCACATAAGCCAAGATGCTTAGTGACTCCTAGGGTGTAGCCGATGCTGTTGAAAGCACACAGAATCTATGGTTATGTGCCCCCTTGTCCTCGTCTCCCCTGCTTCGAAGGGGTCTCACCACCTACCCCCATCTCTTGGAGGGTGTGATGAGCCCTGAACACATAGGCTGCCTGGCTCCAGCTGGGTATCGGGGGGTGGGGGAAGGTAAGGAGGTCTTTGTGCCAAGTTCAGAGTAGCCAAAAGGTGAGGGTAGTCAGTGGGCCGTTACCTTCGGCCTCCCCAATGAATACACAATACCCATCCTCCTGAGTGGGCAGTGAGGCACAGGCCACAGGCAGCCTGCCGCCCTGCAGGTGGCTCCAGCACGCGTCTTCCAGGGCCTCACAGAACTGGCGGCAGGGTGGTGGGCCAGGCCGCAGGGCAGCTCCACAAGGGGGGGCCAGAAGCAGGCAGAAGAACCACCCCAGAAAGCGATGGCAACTTGTCTGAAGGAGGTCCCCCCAGGCCTGTGCAGCTGCCCACACCTCTTCCTCGCTCTTGTGGCCAAGGTGGTTGGGCAGCCGGCTGTGGCCAATGCCCAGGTGTCGGCAGAGCAGCATCGAGGGTGGCAGAGGCCGGCAGTGACCAGAGTGCTGCCCAGCCAGGGCAAGCAGTGCAGAGGTGTTAGCGAGACCAGGACCTGAAGAATTAGCCATGTGAGAACCCCAATCACCATGATCCCTGATTAAAGCTGTGACCGGAGACCGCTGGGCTGGGTAGTCTTTCTGCACGTGGTCATCCCTGCCATTGGGGTCACCAAGCAAGGCCCCCCTACCATGCCGGTCTGAGCGGTCAGCGGAGAAGGTGGAGGAGGCAGCATAAGCAGAACCCATCACCAGGGGGAGCAGATGAGGCGTGCGGAGGGGGATGTTGGTGTGTTGATGCTGCTGGCTGGTCAGGGCAGCCACAGGCAGGAGTTGCTGATCATCCAGATGCTGGGGCCACCCAAGGACAGAGGGAGAAGAAGCTCTACCTGGAGATGGCAGGGAAATCAAGGGCTGCCTGAGCAGGACCTGGGGCCTGTCTGGAGAGGAGAGCAGCTGGGTGGGCGCCAGCAGGGTGCTGGGATGAATCCTCTGCATGTTCTGTGAGCTGGGGGCTGCACTGCTCAGCCAGGGAGCCGTCCTGCTCCCTGCAGGGGTGCCAGAGGATTCAGGAAGGGTGATGGGGTCTGTGGAGGCTGTGGGGGCCAAGGTACCCGCTCTGGTTGGGCTCTTGGTGGGAGTGGTGTCATCCCACAGCTGGACGAAGCTCCGGATGCCCTGGGCCACGTTTAGGATCTTGGCTCCCACGCCGGCAATGTTCTCCTCCCTCTTGCCTGGAATTGAGGGGAAGGTGGCAGGGGCAGTGGGAGCTCTTCCCTGGCCAGCCTCCAGTCCCTCCAGGGGTAGCTCTGAGATGGCAGGGGTGGTCGTGGGCTCTGTGAGGCCATCCCGAGGATCCACGTGCGTGGTGGGCTCCACTGCGAGTTGCACAGGTGGGCTGTTTGGGGGCTCAGAGGCCAGTGGCACTGAGGAGCCCACAATCCTAGGGGACCACAGCCATTCCAGGCCCAGCAGTTCAGCTTGGGTGGCAGCAAGGCAGCAAGTAAGCAGCAGAAGGCTGTGGCAGCTGCTGGGGTCCGGAGCCATTGGAGCTATGTAAGTGTGTACTGGCGGCTGACGGGTAGTAACTTTGTCCTCCAGGCTGGGGCCGTCCTCCCCGCCTTCCCCGCCCTCCTGGCAGGCTTCCAGCTCCCCATTCATGTTTCCCAGCACGCCCTCTCCCTGTAGATGCTTCGCCTTCCATCTCACCCACACAGAGGGACTGCACAGGTCAGGTCGGAATTGAGGTGGCCTCTCATGCATGTCCCCCATGACCTGGCCCTCAAAGACTTTTAACTCTTTCCTTCCCATTTTTCCATAAAGTAGCCACAGGCTCAGGACAAAGGGGCATGCTGAAGGGCATCCAGCCCATTCCCAATCTCTCTCCACTTCCTAGAACTGCATGGGAGGCTCTGGGCTGGAACCCCTGATTACCAAGGGTAGGACAGGAGCTTCTAGGCGCCGGCCCCTCAGGAGGTCCACCCGGCCTCTCACTTGGCCTGGCTCCCTTTTGCCCCAACTGAGAAGTGGGGAAGTGTATGTATAGGGTAGAGTCTGGCCTGGGGCCAATGCCGTGAGGTAAAACTGGAACTTAAAGATACTGAAATTGTTACAATTTCAAGTTCTCTGTTGCGATGGCTTGCATTTCTAGGGAGAGGTACCAAAGAGCCATGCACAAAAGTGTGACCCACTAGATGACCACTCCTTACCCTTGAGCCTTGGCCTCTGCCTCTCCCCCCCAACTGCTTGTCTGCACACATTTTACCCCTAACTACCCAGACAACAGCTCAGCTCCTTTCTCCATGGATTAGAAATGTCCTCACTGACCACTGTGTATCAGAGTTTTCATGAGTACCCTGACAAGGAGTGGGGCAGGGAGGAGGGGTTTCTAAATTAATTCTTGGAATCTCTGGGAAGAAACAACCAACTGTACGTGCTTTTTATTGACATTGGGGGCATGAGTAATATGGCACCAATGGAGTGCATGGTGCTAGGAACACAACTTCTAGTTGATGTCCCCCTCAAACCTACTCCTCTACCCCACCCCGACTCCATCGGTGTACTCAGCAGGTCAACCTCAGACTATGGAATCGTGGAGTCACAGGGGGTGTTGGTGATGGGGCAAGATGAGCTTGACCCCAGCCTACTATGGCCCCATTGTCCCTAGCACCCATTTGGGGGTAGACGTCCTGAGCAGGGACATCTCTGGGCACCAAAGCCACTGAGCCAGGTGAGGTCTGAGGTCAGCTGTGTTGATGCTTCATGGACTCTTAAGTAGCTCAGTGCCCTCCATGTCCACCTGGGTTAGGGAGAGGACTTTGCTGCTGAGAGAGCCTGCTGCTCAGGACTTAACGTGTAGGTCAGAGTTTGATGTGTAGGACTGCTATCACCCTCCCCACGCTCCAGGGAGGGGTCCCCTGGTGTCTTCCATGCTTGCCCAAGTCATCTTGCCCTGGAAAAGTGTCATCTACTGCTCGGTACTGCTTGCTCTGGCTGCTGACCCACAAGATGGGGCACCTCACCAGCCTGTGACACTGACATGGTTGGAAGACCCCCAAGAGATCCAGGTACACTGGAGGACACACTCCCGACACTGCAGCAGCAGCCACTCTGCTTCTTCCTGCCTGGTTCTTCTGGCACTTACTTTTTTATTTAAAAATGAAATGGAGGAATGGGGGAAGACCAGGCTCTAACTTCCACCCACTGTGCCTAAGGCAGCTCCCACCTTGCTGTCCCCATTGCCATCACCTTGCATCTCTGGGAGCCTGGGTCCTGCCCATGGCCTTGCCCAGCTGAAACAGTCAAAGACAGTGCTAAGGGCCTTTCAAGACATGAAAACCTGGGGTGGGTGCAGAGTGGCGCATCCCTGAGGTGGTCATCCATTCATGAGCCCATTACTCTGCCCAGCATAGGCCAGGCAGGAGTTCAGAGGGCTGAGGCGCAGCCCCCACCCCTAGGGCAGCCTTGGGAACCCAGGTCAACCTGTGGGAACAAAGACAGCAGGGAGTTTTCCTAAAACTGAATAGAAGCTTTGCCCCTCCCTCCTCCCTCCTAATGAATTATCAATAATTAAGTAATGCCACAAAAAAATCCTTCTGGGAAGTGACTGTTCCACAGGAATGACAATGGCTAAAGAAATCCAGTCTCTAGCTTTTTTAAAAAAGCTTCACACTAATCTTCTCATGGATTAGGCTCCTCTATGAAGCACCAATCCAGGGGCAGACAGGTCCAGGGTGCCTGCTAAGGTGGGTGATGGGACCCAGCAGGGGGCAGTTCCTTCCAGCCATACCCATGTTCCCTTGTGGGACTCCCTGACCATTGGCCTCCCCTGCACAGTTGGAAGCTCTCAGCATGCAGGACTCACCAGATACAGCTCTCCCAACAAGTCAAGGCCCTGCTGACGAGCCACTGGTGGACAGGGGGACAGTGGCTCAATGTGGGATATGACATAATAAATTTGAGAACTATGGGAACAGCTAAAACCAATCCAATACTTGATATGTTTCTCACTTCTGTTACTTTTGGTAGCAATGATCAAAGCCTTGCACAAAAACAGAGCTGGGGGACAGAAAGCCCCACCCTGCCCATCAGAACTCTCCTGCCAGGTCCAGGCTCCCCTAGGATAAGCTGCTGCCTTGCCCACTGCTGCTCTAGGCTTCAGTGCCTAACAGACACTGTGCAGGGAAAACAGAACCCACAGAAGGACCTGTTATTAAAATGAAGTGAGTCTCCCTGGACCGGCCAGACCCTCAGAACAGAATCTCCTAGTTCTGGAGCGAGGGGCACAGTAGCAGACCCTTCCAGGCTGGCTCGCAACCCGCCTTCTCCTGGGGTCTTTTGGAGTTGGTCTGACTTCCAGAAAGCCACACAGCTCTGAGGACGTCCCAGACCTGCATGACACACCCCCTCCAGAGCAGTAACTCTGACTCTGTGCAAAGGAACGATGTTTAACTAGAAGGAGGGATGCCCTTGGGCGCACTTGTTATTCCCCATTTGTCCCATCAAGTCCAGACCAGCCAAAATGCCCATTTGTCTTGTCACTGGGACCACCCCCCTCCCCACCTCATGGGGCTAGTGCTGAGCTGTGGCCTCTCTGGGGCCCACTGCACCCAGGCAGTGAGGGCGTTGCTCAAGGTTATAGAGCCCCTCAAACGTTGAACCAAAACTGAATCGAGGTGGTCCTCATACACATGTTCACATATACATACTCATACATAAACACACATGCACACATATGCATGTACTCACGTAGATATATGCATGCACACTCACACATAGTCACACATACACTCTCACATTCTCACAAACACCCACATTTCTTTTACATTTCCCACTAGATCCTATTGTGTGCTGGGCACACCAGCCATTCCTTCTGCACGGCTTCCCTTGTAGTCCACTGCTTAACCCCCACCCATGGCTGGGCTTAACATCCACCAGGGCAGTGCTGAGAAAAAAAACCAGTGAGTCCATCCAAAGGGCAGGCCCGGCTGCTTGGAATCAGAACTGGATTTTGGAACAGCTGGACACCACGTCCCTTCTCTAAGGCTGGGGGAGGCTCCCCACGCAAACAGCTGCATCTCAGCAGGGCCTCGTTCCCAAACTAATCCCCACAACACTCAGCACAGAGTCTAAGAAACGCCAGAGAAGGGTCTCTTCTTTGCCTGAAAATCTCCTGCCACTAATAATTTTATACTGAAGAATGTCTCCGGAAAACCTCAGGACAGAAGTTCCCCACAAGTACATCACGTATGGGGAGAGGCCCTGGGATCATGTGGCCAACACTGACTCACCCTCAGTGTAGGGTGTCCCTTATTGTCTTGCTGGCCCTAGGAGCTCGGACAGTCACAGTGTAAATGTTAACCTCCTATGGCCATCTGCACAACTGGCTGACCATCTTCATCCACTCAACTTGAGATTCCTGGCAAAGTAAGGGATGAGGAGCATGGCTGGCAGGAGGGGCAGCCCCATCCAGCTCAGGTCTAGCTCTTCCTTGGACCAGAGCAAGTGCCCCACACCTACTCCATGGTGGAAACAGCTTTGCTCTGATGAGACTGCTCCAGTCCATGACACTACAATGAACAGTGGAGAGGATCAGACTTGGGGGGCGGGGAGAGGCAGGGAGAAGGGCAACCTTAGGTTATCCCCTCTCTGATTGTTATGGGTTGAACTGTGTCCCCAGAAAAGAGACATGAAGTCCTAACCCCTGCACCTGCAAGTGAGATTTTGTTTAGAAATAGGGTCTTTGGAGATGTAATCAGTTAACATGAGGTCATTCTGGAGTAGGATGGGTCCTAATCCTACACAACTAGTGTCCTTACAAAAAAGGAGAAGAGACAGACACAGAGGGAAGATGACCATGTGACAACAGAGGCAGAGATCAGAGTTATGCATCTATAAGCAGCCAAGGAACACCAAGGATCCCCGGTCATCAGCAGAATCTAGAGAGAGGCAAGGAACAGAGCCTCAGAAAGATTCCACACAGCCAACACTCTGATTGGACTTCTACCTTCAAGGACTATAAGAGAACACATTTCTGCCCTATGAACCCCCAGGTTATGATTCTCTGTCCCAGCTGCCCTGGGACACTCATGTCCTGACTTCCTGGTCCCCCCGTTATCTTGGAGATAAGTCTGGGCATCTGCCATGTCTTATCCCAGATGTGGGAGGCCTCTGGACCTCTCAGCACTGTGCTAGGAAGTTAGGCACGTGGCAGAAGCCATATCTTACCCACAAGCCCCCAGTCATGTCACACGCAGACCAGCACGCTATCTCTGAGGCCAGAAGAGTCTAAGGAACACAGAAGTCAGTGCCTCAGAACGCCGACAGGCAGCACCTGGAGGACCAGTGGGTCACTGGTGGGGCATGTATTTATTGCTGATGTCACCTGACCATGAACACTGGTGCCAGGAAATGAGACGTCCTACTCCCAGGCCTGCCAAATGGGCTGTCTCCACAGCTCCTGCGGCAAGTCCTCTCTGTGAAAAGAGATTCCATGCCCTCCTGGGCAAGCCAACCCTGGGCCACAGTTGTCATTTGTGGAGCGGCAG